TTTTTTTTTTTTTGATGTGTGTGTGCGTATTGTGTTCTGTTTTAGGATGGGGATACCGGAGGGGCAGGGTTGCGGGTTGTGCAGCGGGACTCCGCGGGGAGCTGCTTGCAGCCGGCGACGGTGCAGCGCCGAGCAACGGAGCCCACGGGCGGAGAGGGACGGGGGGGAACAAGCAAGGGGGAGCTGGCGCTGGACACGGCCGTGCGGGAGCTGTCACCGCAGCCCGGCTGCGGATGTCTTTCCGGTTTCCCTCGGCGGGATGTGCGAGTGCTCATGATTGTCCGTTCACACGTGTACGCTAGGGCTCGTCTCTCTCTCCTGGGAAAGGCGAGCAGCCCCCGGCAGCCCCGCCGGTGACTGTGCCCGCCCACCCTCCGAGGCGAGGGCGGCTGCTCCGGCGGGGACGGTCACGGCAGTGGCCAGGGGTCCGACAGGGAGGGAGGTTAGCACGTCCGGGCACCATCACTGCATTCCATCCCGTGTGCCGCTCCTGGGCCACTTCTTTCCTTTCTCTTCCTTTCTATTCCTTCCCTTTCCTTTTCTCTTCCCTTCCCCTCCCACCCTTCTGTCTGTCCCAGCAGGAAGATGGGCACTCTGTCCCAACTGCCCGGGACTTTCCGGTCACTGGGAAATAGAATGAGGGTCCCAGGTGTGAAGGGTGTACAAGTGCTGTCAAGGCTTGCTTGATTATCTCATGGGGGTGAAGGGGCAGATGCCCCAGATGTGGTGGTGATCTCAGGCCAGGGTTTGGTTGAAATGGAAGCAAGGTTTGTTCTCTGTAAGTAGTGAAGGATTTTGAATCATATTTGTTGAAAATGTGGAGAGATTTGTTAATATCATCTGGATGGGCTGTCAGGACAAATATTTCTGAGAGTGACTTGTTCTAAATTTCAACTGGATGACAAGATGGAGAGATGAATGACATCCTTCATTGAGCAACGTAGCTTTTCCATCGATGCAGTCAGCATGTTAAGGAGGAATTTCAAAACTATCTTCTGCTCTGTCTGTGATGAAGGAAGTAGCATTCCTTGAGAATGTACTTCATCCCTACAGGAAAAACAGATTTGCTGCACAAACAATATCTAAATGGGTTATGTTATTATATATTTTTTTTAAATGCAAGCTATTTATTTTCATAACCATGCCATTTTAGGAAAGATTGGTTTGCACAATAGATAGATTTCTTTTAAGGCAATGGAGTAAAATTCTGCTGAGTGCGTTATCTTCCATGTTGGTATCACACATCAGCAATGAAAAATTAGAATCCTGACCTTTTTTTTTTTTTTTTTTTTTTTACAGGCAATCCAGCAGTAGTCACCTGGAGAAAAAGTTTCTCCTCATGGTCATCAGTGAATTGGTGGAACATGAGAGAGAAACGTGTTAAAAGAAATGGTATATTCGGAATCCATACAATACAGACACAGGCATCTGATAAATGCATCTGTTTATATGTAGGTGCGTGCCAGAAGGGGCCAGCAGAAGGCACTGCAAGAAGCAGTGGTGAGTCTGGCTTAGCAGCACCACTCTGGGTGCTCTCACTGCTACGAGTTGGTGAGCAGCTATGGGGCCACAGATGCTGTGTGCACCTGTATCCACATCTGCATGCAGAGTGCCCATGCACAGTGACCCATTTGTGCAGTACCCTACACACACAGTGCCCCATGCACACAGTGCCCCATACACTAAGAGCCTCTCCCAGGCCCTAGTCTGAACAGGAAGGTTTGGGGAATGGATGCAGCCCTCCTGTTAGGGGTTGGGCAGGGAAATACTGAAATGAATGTCTTGCACTGAGAGGGTGGTGACACACTGGAACAGGTTGCCCCAGGAGGCTGTGGATGCCCCATCCATAGAGGCATTCAAGGCCAGGCTGGATGTGGCTCTGGGCAGCCTGGTCTGGTGGTTGGCGACCCTGCACATAGCAGGAGGGTTGAAACTGGATGATCTTTGTGGTCCTTTTCAACCCAGGCCATTCTATGATTCTATGATTTTAACACAGAGATGTAAACTGAACGGTTCCTACATGCAACAAATGTAATGAGGTCAGTGTGATATTCCTTTGTGTGGGTTTTGTCTGTGCAAACTCACTAATTTCCTAAAAACAACATCAGGTGATGAAGCCAAGACACTGTGTATCTGCAGTACCGCAGGAGTTTATTTTCCTTACTATTAAAAGCTGCTGAAAGCCTGGTTATAACATGCACATTATTTAGCTTATGTGAGCCACGGTGAAAGGTAATGTTATGCAGATGTCCTCGCTGCACTGATAGGGTGGTTGGAGTAGATGGGGAGTGACCCTGCTGCCTGCTAATCACAGCAGCTATTTACCTGCTCTGCACTGCACAGCCAGTCCTGGGGCAGGGGGGTGTTACTGAGAGCTCAGTGTGCTGGATGATGCAGCTGCCGGACAGTGTCCACAGTTCGATTATGAGCTGATATGTAAAAGCATACGTAAAAGCTCTAAAATCTTGAGAATTGATTATATTTTTGCACAGAGATCATGAATTTTTAAGCAGAACTGTTGAGGAGTGGGTTCTTTTTTT